GTTGATTTTTATCTTCAGTTTAAAGATATTTAACATGGATACACTATTAAAGTATGGAGTTATGTCATTATAGGTCTATAGTATGCTCCAAGGGAAAAGAGATGCAGAGACTGTCTTAACCATGGGGATCATGGGAGATGTCAGCATTATTCCCCAACCTGCAGCTGGTGACTAAAATGTTTTTTCTCTTTTACATGAACATTTATATGTTTTCTTTGGAGTTCCTGGCTGGTTGCTAACTTGTTCTTGGTTTTGGATCATTTTGGCCCAACTTAAAACTTTTGATATCATGGTCTTATGCATAAGATCCTGTGTCATAGGATGAAACTAAAGTTGACATTCTTTTGTTTATGTGGAAATTTCATTTGTATTGGACTTTAATATTTAGTTGTGGTTAGGGTTTTTGGGGTGGCATTGGGTTTGAAGGTGATCGTGGAGAAAATAGTTACTTGGGGGCATTGATATCAACAAAGAAAGAGTGGGTGCCCGGTTTGGGTTGTTCCTCAAGTGCTTTACCCATTATGTTTTGGGCACGCTGTTGGAGTAAATCTGAAGGCGGTGGAGTTTTGGAAAAAAAATTGAAGAAAAAGTATTGGGGAAATTGGAGAAATTAAATAACTTAAATATTCCAAAGAGAGGATGTTCGACGGTGGTGAGAGAAAGGAGAGAGGATATGATGATGTGGAGTCCATAACTCAGAAACGTAACAACATCAGATTGTGAAGTTATTATCATAATCTATTTTTATTGCATGGACTTGCATGTATTCTCACAAGTCACAATATAGATCTAATTCGCTTGATTTTTCTTACATTTGGAATTGTTTAGATGCTGGAAAGGTCGACATACTAATGAATGTTGTTGAGCGTCCAAGTGGAGGTTTCTCTGCTGGAGGTGGTCTATCATGTGGGTAAGATGCATTATCTTCCATATTTGCCTATGTTTGCTTGCATTCAACTATATTGAGTATTTTCTATTGTTAACTTTATTTACTGTTGACTTGGGAACTTTTCTAAATATAGGACCACTGGCGGAGGTGGCCCTTTATCAGCCCTTATTGGAAGGTAAGTTCAAAGCTGTACGTCCTGTTTTGGAAACCCTCCCTCCCCCCACATGCATATATGCGTATAAACTCTCTGAACTTGGTTTATGCATGGCCTTGATTAGAATTTAGCTGATAAACTCTGGAGAGAGAAATAATCTACACGTTTCTCTTTTCTTCATGTACCAGTACCACTGTTTTTTTCAATACTCTACTTATTAGATTATTTTGCTACTACTTTGCCTTCTTGTGTCTCACTTGCATTGCATTCCACTGATATGATGAAGTGCTGAGATTTTTAGCTTAGTAACAATATTGTTCTTGTTGCAGCTTTGCATATTCCCACAGAAATCTTTTTGGGAGGAATCAGAAACTCCATGTCTCCTTGGAGAGGGGTCAAATTGATTCCATATTTCGTATAAACTATACAGATCCATGGATTGAAGGAGATGATAAGAGGACATCACGAACGATAATGGTTCAGGTAGTCTTGAATTCGGTGTATTTTTATTTATCATACTTTTCAGTGGAGATCCTATTCAATATTCTTTGTTTCTTTTCTTCAGAACTCAAGGACTCCAGGTACACTTGTCCATGGTGGTCGTGGCAACCTGACCATTGGTCGTGTTACAGCTGGTTTAGAATTCAACCGGCCAATCAGGCCAAAGTGGAGTGGAACTGCAGGACTTTATTTCCAGGTACTTTAGTATAACTGGCTATATGATTCTGGGTACAAAGTTGGGTTCAGGTAATTTGGGAGTCTTGGAATTCTCTCCCTAGAGCTTTAACTCAATTTTACATGCTATACAAATTTTCCTGCACTTATTAGCCCAAAGTGTTCATATCTTCTATACTATTTACATTCTCTACCTTCTTTCCTTAAATGTTTTCTCTGCATTTCTAACTTCAGCTTTCTATCTTCCATGTTCAGCGTGCTGGTGCTCGAGATGAACAAGGAAATCCTATCATAAAGGACGACTTCAACAGTCCTCTCACTGCAAGGTCTGCTCCTTTGCGATTTGCAATTAGGCATCATCTTTTGTGAAGATGCCAGGTGCAATTTAATTCTGTGTTGAAAGTTGTCTCTTAATCTTTTTCTTCTTATATGTTAGCGGCAATACTGACGACAATATGTTACTGGCTAAATTTGAGAGTGTCTACACTGGTTCTGGAGATCATGGATCTTCAATGGTTAGTCACTTTCATCATCTCAACTTCAATATTCTCCAGCTATGATGATCCCTCATTATCTTTTCTCCTTGCAGTTTGTTCTCAGCATGGAACAAGGGCTTCCCTTTTTACCTGAATGGTTATGTTTTAATAGAGTGAATGCTCGTGCCAGAACTGGCATGGAAGTAGGTCCCTCTCAGCTCCTTTTAAGGTATGGTGCCTTGTTATGAAGTGCAAGGATAGCTATAAGTTGGAAAATCATACTGGGAGGATAACTTTGAATGCTGTCCTTGATTTTTTTTGGGTATGAAATAAATCATGGATTGATTTTACTTGGCTGATGTGTTTTGGTCATCGTTTTTAGTTTGTCTGGAGGTCATGTAGTTGGCAATTTTTGCCCACATGAAGCGTTTGTCATTGGGGGAACAAACAGTGTAAGAGGTTACGAAGAAGGTGCTGTAGGCTCTGGTCGATCTTATGCTGTTGGCTGTGGAGAGATCTCTTTTCCCTTGGTATGCAAGGGATCTTGTATTTGGGTTGCACTGTGTTTTATGCTTCATATTTGTTTTGGCCTCTCCATTGAGTTCATTATAAAGGATTCATTTGATACCTAGAAATGTCTGATACGTATCAGCTGCGTTGCTTTGTGAAGGATTTGGCATGTGACAGGAAGATATTTGAGCAATTGAAACTAGATATTGTTGAAACTGAATAGAATATAACAATCACAGAAATTTTATATCTATCTCAGCATCATGTTCTTAAAAAAAGAGAGACATTGGATGGATTAGCAATTTACATTAATAAGTTAGTGTTTGAGGGTGGAGATTTGAAGTGGATGATTAGGTCCAAGTTGGGGTAAAGTGTAATTTTTCATTTTTCAACTTTACCTTAAGATCAAAGTTATGCATTTAGTTTTCTAGAAATCACTGCTGCTTGTCAGATAGTCGGACTATGAAGAGCGTCATAGTGGAAAGAAATGTAAATGATTAGGCAGTAAGGGAAATCAAGACCTTACTATAATTAACCTGGATTGGTCTAGTAGTTGAGGTGCCTCTAAGTTCATGGATTCAATCTCGAATTTTTCAATCCTCATAGAATTAAGAAGTCGGTCTTTACTGAATGTTCGATTGGAGAGGTATAAAGCCATTGACGTGAAAATGGTTGAAAGTGTCAAAATTTAACTAAAGGCGGCCTGGAAGTTAAATCTATTTGTTGCTATTCATGCTGATCTCTGCTTCTGAATTATGAGTTTGTCTTAAGCATACTTGTGGTGGTCCACTTTTTCTGATCCTTTTATTTTCCCTCGTTTCTCACTTTTTTTTTCCCTCTTATGTGTAGTTTGCCCCTGTAGAAGGAGTTATTTTTGCTGACTATGGAACTGATCTTGGATCGGGCTCAACTGTTCCAGGTTGGACCTTTTTATGCTCTTTTTATTCTTGCTTTCTCAAGGTATAAATATAACTAGGATGTTGCAACAATGATATTGATTGCCTCAAGGAACGAGAATTTGTGCACAACAGTTAATATGTATATAGGGTATTCAAAATGTCTTCTAGAAAAGATAACGATCAATGTGGCTATCCTAATATTAAGTTTGCTTATATATATATATATATGAAAAGCCGAGCCTTTATCTTAATAATTCATATCAAGTTATAAGTGCGTTTGGTACAAGTTCTTAGCATCTTTTCCCAATGGCGATATATTTGGTTTTGAACCATGGGTATGATGCTCTTGCGCAAAAAGAATGGTTTGAGTGTCATCCATTCACATTGAAAATTTAGCATTCCAGACCTGATGTGATGGCTTATTTTAATGGTAGTGATGAACCCATGTATGTGGTTTTGATACTTTGGTGCTGTTAACGGCTTATTCTCTGTCGACAGTAGAATTTCTCTGCAGTAGTTTAAACTTTAAACTAAAAGCTCATGTTTTTCTTGATTAGGTGATCCTGCTGGGGCTAGGCTGAAACCTGGAAGTGGATATGGGTATGGGTTTGGAATCCGTCTGGACTCCCCTTTGGGGCCTCTTCGTCTGGAATACGCGTTCAACGACAGACACGCAAAGAGGTTCCATTTTGGTGTTGGCTACCGGAATTAATCCCCTTTTTCCTACTATTAGACGGGGAATCTTCTTTCTGTAATCTTCTTCTTCTTCTTCTTTTTTTTTTTTTCCAGTGTTTGTTGGGGGCGGGGGTGATCTGAAGTTAAATCTGTTTCACTACCTTTTTTTTGTTACAAAGGACATGATTAGTCTAGTTTGAAGCCCAATTCCTTGATAATTTATTTTCTACTTTAATATAATTTAATTCATATTAATCAACATGGGAGTCTTTGAATAAGTATATGGACTGTTTGGTGGATTCAAATTTTACCAAATGAGATCAATCTTTGGTGTCAAGGACCAATTATTTTAGCCCCTAAAAATAGTTATATATGTCCAGTTCTATTGGGAAGGACAAAATTTCTTGTCGGGAAGGAACTAATTTTTTTCGATTTCATTAATCTAGGTGGATTGGGAATGTTTCTCTACTTGGATCTTGTCTCCGTCCTTAAGCCTTTTAGCTTTTATTTACATCACATGTTATGTTTATAATATTTCAGAACTTTGGTTTTTATATATATATATTTAATGAAAATAGTTTACATGTTTACAGTGATACAACGGCAAAACATTTCTTTATCAATCTCTCGGGTTATGTTTAAAAATGACTTAACAGTTGATTATTTTATGTGTACAAACAATTAGATAGGGAACAAGGTTTTAGAGGATTACGTTTCTTGTTTTGTGGGATATTTGAAATGGGGAATAGGACAAGGACAGGCTTACGTATTGATCTGTAATTTTGTTCTATCTTTATCTTGTAGTGGTCATTTTTAAACTAGGCTGTTTTAATGCAGTTTAAATTGCAAACTGCTGCATCTGACTAAGTTACTGTGCAAAATTTGAAGCTTAGTACCGTTATGAGAGCAAGAAAAATAGCAGTACTTTGCAGGGTACAAAAGCTTCTGATTGCAGCTTCGAGATGAGGTACATTTTCATTGAATGAAGCTGAGGCCTGAGGGTGTCATCATTTAAAGGTTCAATCAATTCTTTTGGTTGCAGTTTGTTGTCTCAGGTAAATGGTCTTCTTCCAAATTTCACATATCAATTTGATCATTTAATGGGGTTTATTTGTGGTCTTGTTTGATATGAAGCTGGACAAAGTGAATCTATACAATATATTGCAATGGAGAAAAGTATGAGGATATGTAATGTTTGGAAAAGGATCTTATCTCATTGTTATGATCGTCTAGGCCCCAATAAAATAATGGAGCATCTTGCAACAAGAAAACTACTTTTTCTTATTTTTTGGGGATAATTTCTTTAGGAAAATTTGAGTGGGCAGCACCATTTTCCTAAATCTAAATGTATAATATGTATGGGAGTAATTATATATATGGCACCTCATAATGTTTGCAATAGTAAATATATACTTTTAAAACTCATCAATCATTGACTGACTTCATAATAGTAATGAGTTCTTTTTAAAGAATTTGTTTTAAAATTGCAATAGTTCATGTGCATGATGATGAATTTGAATATTGATCTAAAATTATGGTAGTAACTAAAAGTAATTAACAATAATTTGATTTTAGTACAACAAATGCGGGATGAGAATTTGAAGACCTGACTTGAAAGGAAGGAGTAAATGTTTAGTTATGTGTGTGTTGCATAACAATCATTAGTTTAACAAATATATTACTATTTATTATATTAGGACTATGTTTAGCTTAATTTTGTCTAGGTATGTTTTTTTTTTTTTGAGTTCATCAAATGTAAAGATGGAGATTTTAACCTCCATTCTTAAGAGGAGTAGATGCTTGTTATGTTACCTTAATATTTTGTCATATATACATATATATATTTACAGTTTTTGTCCTTGTATTTTAGAATAGAACAAAGTTCTTACTTCTTAATATTATTTGCAAATGATGTTCTAATCGAAAAGCTTTTGGTCTTCACAATAAAGAGACAATTTGACTCAAATGATTTAAAATAATGATGTTGTAAATCATCCAATTTGTCATTATTATTATTACTATCATTAACTATCTTTCTCATTTATTCATTATCAAAATCTTAAAAAATATATTTTTACTCTCATATGTTAAAGTTTAACTTTAAACTTCATTCGAGACTCTAAATTTAAATGAGTCATTGAATTAATATCTAGTTAAAACTAAATTAGAAAGAAAATTTTCAATGAGTGGAAATTCATATTGTCCTGTTTGCAAATACAATAATAGGATTTGGATTTGTAAATATCGATTTTTTTACCTGTATATTATTCATTTACCTCTATCAAACAAATATTCAAACTAAATCTAAATCATAGAACTATTCAAATCTTGTACAAAATTAAATAGGTAAAAGAAAAAAAAAGGTCTCCAAAATAATCCAACCAGAAAACATCTATCATGAGACCACAAGAGCTAGTAGCTACAATAATACTCGAATTTTATTTCTCAAGTCACTAGTGATTAAAAAATAAAGTGATTTCTTTAATAAAAAGTACTTTCCATCTACTGCCTCAAAAGTCTTATCAAACATACCTTAAACTCATGTATTGAGGGTTTTCAACCAACAGTAGTAACCAAAGTGAGAGACAGAGAGAGAAGCAGATAAATCATTTCATTTCACAGTTGTGAAGCTGATCATAATCCATAATATTGCCCATCTATTATTATTATTATTATTATTATTTAGATTTTTCCCATGTTTTTTTCTTTTACTATTATTAAACGTGAGTTGATCGGTAGGTTTAAGTGGAACAGTATATATAAGATTTAACTATTGGATTTTGCGGTAATAAAATATTTGACTGAAAGAATAGTAGATTAGATTTATCCTTTTACAAAAATATAATAACATTCGTGTGTGGGTGTATTTTATCAATAATATAAAGATGGTATATCATGTTAACATGTTTTTGCCATCCACTACAAAGTTTTTATTTAACAAGGAATAATATAATTACGTTCGCCTCCTATTGACTACTATTATTATTATATTTGTAAATGACACCATATGACACCATTTAAACAGTTGACAAGTTAAAAATCTCTCTTCTTTTTCTCTTTTTATACATTAACCCCTCCTAATTGTAAAAAATATAACGGTAATCAATAGAGGACAGTCCCTACCTAAATATATTATTCCTTGAAAAGACGAAGAAAATTATACGAAGGAGTCACTTTCAGCAGGTTGCGACGTGTAAATAGAAACAAAACACAAATGAGCGATGCCTACAAAACAAGACATGTCTGCGGGAGTTGAGCATCAGGCATCAGAGAAGGGTCAAATTAAAGGCATTAATGGAAGAATATAAGGCAAAAGTGGAGAAGAGAGAGAGAAGAAATTTATGATGTGGAATTGTGGTGCATGGGGGATGAAGGGTGAAACAACAGTGAAGGCAGAAGGGACAATGGTGTGTGTGTTGGCAAAGGGCGTAGGCCGACCAGGAAACCAAGACGTGCCCACCAAAGCAAATGCCGGCCTCCACACACACACACACACACACAACAAAAACTACTACTACTAATTCTACTACTTGTATTTCATTCCAAATTGTCACTGTCTCTCTCCTGATCTGCCAATCCCCAATACCAATACACTAATCGCTCTCTTTGGCCCTTTCCTTCCCTATTTCACTCTCAATACCACTCCTTTTCCTTTTCATACTTAATAATATTGGTTTGCTTTTGTTTTTGCCCTCTTTCTCTCTTTGCACGTGAACTTTAATCAATACTATTTATTATTTTCTTTTTCATATCCGTGAGCGTTCGGACCACACGCTAGCATGTCATTCGACTTCTCGACTCACTTCGATTGCAAAGACTTTCTCCTAGGCACATGTCTCACCAACACAAAATGAGGGAGTGATCCTACCACTAGTCATTTTAGGCCAATGAATCAACTATGACGGTTTTTAATATCGACACTTTAACAAGCCATGAATGCAAATCAAATCAATGTGTTGTGTTTGGACTTCAATCAAATACATTTGATATTTTGTGTATATGGCTCTCTTTTAAAATTTTTAATTTAGTTCTTCTTATTTAAGTTTTAGAAATCAATCCAATCGTCAAAGTTAGTGGCTTATCCCTGAAAGAAGATGGAATAATTGGTGAGATGGGACTCATAAAACTACACAAAAAAAAGGGAAAAAAGAAAAAAAAAGGTTCAAATAGAAATCAAAGAGAGACTAACCTAAGTGGGAGACCAAATTTGTAATTATCCTTAAATTTTTTTATGTGTTGAAGTGGGTTGTGCTCATTTACTTTTATTATACCATTTTCACACTGTTCAATGAGTCGCTTGTTCTTTCAAATCCCAAGACTTGTGATATCTCTCTTCTCTCTTCTCTCTTCTCACCCTCCATATTTCTTAGGCATATATTTCTTTTTGCTCATTGTTTAGTCATTTCTCGCAAGTGATTTTTCCCCTTGTCCTTTCTTCCATTCACTTGGGAAGGAAAAAAATTCCTCTTTATTTATTTATTTATCATCACCCCCTCCCCCTCCCTTAGCTCCCACCACTTCTCTTAATTTGGTGATTTTGTCCAATCTCCATATCTTATTAACAATGAGTGATCCCTCCTACTCCTACTCCATCAATGGCTCTTTTGGTCTCTACCCTCTTCACAATCACCACTACTTCTCTTCTTCTTCTTCATCATCTTCTTCTTCTTCTTCTTCTTATGATCATCACTTCTACTCTCTTTCCTACTCCAACAATGATCATCAAACCCTAAAAAACAGCTCCTTTTTCACACCCCATCAATTATTTTCCCCTCCCAATTCCTCCCCACAAGTCCTTCCCCTCCTAAGCTTAAGCCCTGCCAGAAATGTTGATCAAGATCACCACCAATCCTCCTCCTCCTCCATGGAGATTTCCAAGCAAGATCATGATGAGAGCAGTCATGTTACTGTGGCTTTGCATTTAGGGCTTCCAACTCCTCCTTCTGATCTGATCTTGAGGCTTTCTTCCACAGAGATCTCAGACAAAGAAGAAGAGGAAGTGGAAGAGGAAGAAGAAGATGAAGATCAGGAAGAAGAAGCTGCTCCTGTGGTTCCCAATTACTCCTCCTCACTCAACAAAGGCCAGTATTGGATTCCCACTCCTGCACAGATTCTCATTGGCCCCACTCAGTTCTCTTGCCCTCTTTGCTTCAAAACCTTCAATAGATACAACAACATGCAGGTATGTGTATATTATCAAATCAAATCAAAACGATTCATTTTGCTAATAATGTATATATATATATATATATATATATATATATATATTTGCTGAAAAAGAGGAAAAAATTGTTCTTTATGTACTCCTTTTTAGACCGATCTCAGCCTTATGACTAGGAAAAAGAATATCTTTGCAGACTTATTAGGGTCTTGGGGGTTTTGGATTTTTATTTTTTATTTTTTGGTTGCAATATTATACATTGCCATTGCATCACACACAAGTAGTCATGATATATATCTTTTTGGTGCATGGTTTTATTCTTAGTTTTGGGGATTCTCAAAAGGATCAGAAACAAATCTTCCCTGCTCCATCTTCAGACTAAGATCAGTAAATCCCCTCTCTTTATGTGATTGAACAACACAGCAGCCATTTTTCTCTTCACACACATTTTGAACTTCGTGTTATTTAATAAACTTTGGCATACGTGTGAAATGAAATCTTACCCTTTTTTTTTCCCTGATAATTTCATCTTTTAAATTTTGCCTAATTTAATGGCATTAGATTTGGCTTTAGATTGTTGGTATATTTGTCCCAGCAATCCCCAACTAAAAGTAGGCTCTAATTCAATACTAAAGGGAATCCCAAGTTTTTGAGAACAACAAAAGCTATGTTTTTTTTCCCCTTTGCTTTTCCAAACCCCTTTGACCACCATTATTGACTCGGATATCATTTATTAAGTTGAAAACTCCTGAATCTTTTGTCTAAAAGATCATTACTAGCTAGAGGGATAGATATATAGAAGAAAAACGTAAAGGAAAAAAAACAAGAGAAATAAACTTGGTCAGATTTCGTCAGTGCAATAACTTTATGCTTCATTTAGAACCATGTACTACACTACATACAAAATGTATGAATGATCATAAATTTTGGTGGGTTTAAATCCTATTCTCACCCTCTGAACTTGCATGATTTAACTTCCAAAATATCTATTTTTGTCTTTAAATTTTTATGTTTATTTCCCACAAGACTCTCAAAAGGTCTATTTTATAGTAAAAAAACAAAAGTCATTTAGTCCTTAGTTGAATAAGTGTAGCTTTAACTATGCGTGTTAAATCTTAGTGACATATACCAAAATAAAAGTACAAGAGTGATCTGTTTTGGTCTCTCGAAATTTTTAGAATGTTTATTTTAGTTTTGAACTTCGACCAAAACTAATCCTTTTCCAATTAAGAGGAGTTCATAAATGTCTGCGGAATATAGTTGTTGATGATATTGATGATATTATGGGGAATAACACACACGTACAGATGCACATGTGGGGGCATGGATCTCAGTACAGGAAAGGGCCACAGTCGCTAAGAGGAACACAGCCAACAGCGATGCTGCGGCTGCCGTGCTACTGCTGCGCCCCTGGGTGCAGAAACAACATCGACCATCCCAGATCGAAGGCGCTGAAGGACTTCAGAACCCTTCAGACACACTACAAGAGAAAGCATGGGATGAAGCCCTTCAGCTGCAGGAAATGTGGGAAGGCGTTTGCTGTGAGAGGGGACTGGAGAACCCACGAGAAGAACTGTGGCAAGCTCTGGCACTGCACTTGTGGCTCTGACTTTAAGCACAAGAGATCCCTCAAGGACCACATTAAGGCCTTTGGCCATGGCCATGCTGCCTATGGCCTCGCCAATGCCAATGCCAATGCAACTCACTCCTTTCACGATCATTTGGATCATCGTCACCACCCTCCTCCTTTTGATACATCATAATTAATATATAATAATCTTTTCATTTCTCATCGTCTCTATCATGTTCATTATTATTATTATGTGTGAATTTTTGCTTCCACAATTCTGTGCTCTACTATGATCACATTATATTATAATTAATTCTACAATATGTTTTTCACTATATATGTGGTCATGGCTCATGGTGTGTGTTTAATTTAATTATATTGCTACAGGGAAAAACTAAACTAACTTTATTCTTTCGATATGATCAATAGCTAGGGTTTTATTCATGATCTCCGTATATCATTTATTTCGAGGGAAGGAATACCAATTTGAGACTCAAATCTCTAAATTAACATGCTTAACATGCCTCCTCAAAACAGTATTTCTTTTGAGTTCATTAATCTTGGTCGAATTTTAATTTTAGACCAGATACTCGTTTGAGCTTTTGGACTTTGGTACCATATCGAGTTCAATCTTGAAACTAATTGACAATGCGAGAAGTAGTTAACTTATATTATAAACCCTTATTATATTACATTCTTTATACATTCTTTATCTTTTCAATGTGTGATCTTTAACATTGAGTAATAGATCATTTATTTCATGATAAAAATATTTCACTTCTAAACTAATTATAGGGTATGTGAGGTATCAAAAATATTACTACGTATTTAAGGGTCTGGTTGGGAGTGACCGTAGAATGAGTGATTATTAAAAAAGAGACTTGATTAAAATTGATTTTCCAAAATCACTATCGAAATAATCATACCTTAAAATCAATTTAAAGTGATTTTAAACTTTTTTATAAAATCAACTTTTAAATTTTGCCAAACACGATCAATGAAATTGACAATGGCAAGAATAATTTCGACAATACCAAAATCACTTCCAAACACACTCTAACTGTTATAATTACTAAAGCCTTTGATGAGTCGATCATATTCTTGATATTATTGAAACAACAACCTAAGGCACAGAAATTGGTTCCCAAATATATATGAAATTAACAAGTATTTGAAAGATGACAGAATTAGAAAGAAAACAAGATCAGACGTAGGTGAGAGTGAAAAAAGAAGGGTTTTTGAGATAATTGATAGAAGAATAATAATGGATCGGAGGTTACGTTGATGACAGCTTTTGTGAGGGAGAGAGGGAGGGGGGAGGGTTCATTGAGATGTCATCTCAAAGAAGTTACGTCCATAAGAAATTCAGAATTCAGAGAAGATTGGTGATGGAGATGGAGGCCGAGGGGGAAAAATATGGAACAGTTATACCAACTTATTACGCATTAGCACACACAGAAGTGATCAGACAAAGTACAAATGAATGTGATTTAACCCAACACAATAAACTAAAATCAAAAATCAAAAATCAAAAGTATAAATAATAAATATGCGATTCTTTTCTTGTTAAATCTGTACTCTTTATATATTTCCAGTGTTCTGTCGCAGCGGCAGCACTAATAACCATCTGTCTGCCATTCGGACATGATGGATCCATGTTTTTACCCTTCCACCTTTTTTACTTTTACTCTTTCCTTCTTTTTTTTTTTGCCTTTCTTTCTTTCTTCACCTGCCCACTCATCTTTTATACTGTACTTTTCTTTTTCCTGCAGCTTCAAAATCTTATTTTATTGGTTATATTTATATTTGTGAAATTTTCTGTTTCCTTTCATCTTTTAAATTCATACCCTAAGTAATTGCATATGCCTCTTTCTTCATCAATTAATTTATGGATTGAGAAATACAAACTTATAGTATTATTATAGCTCAACAATCATGACATCTCTAGTTATGTTGAGAAGTTGGAGTTTGTATGTTCAAATTCTCATCCACGTGTGATATAATATTTTTTAAAATATAATAGTAATAATAATAATTATTATTATTATTATTATGCTACTAATGTAAATTAAACTTGTAGTCTATATTTAGATTATAATGAGAGATGACGTCAATTTATGTAATATCTATTCATTTATTATTAAGAATATTACATCACAAATGATGGAATCTATATCTTATCAATGAGTTATAATTAATGCTTTAGCAACTAAATTATTTTTAAATTAACGAAAATGTATTTATTATTATTTTACTAAACCCATTAACATCGAGATCATTAATAAACACATATTCCTTCGATGTTTCGTTAAATTTCAATTATCTATATTGAAGGAGACTAGGAAATTTCCTTAATAATTTCAAAAGTTACTATTAATTTCTGAAATTTAATCAAATATTTTTAAAATATACAATTTTAGGAGAAATAAATATAGGGGGAAAATTAAATGTTACTTAAAATCGTGTGTATTATTGAAAAGTAGAAAAGTTATTTAACAAACATTCATTGCCGAGGAGGTAGAGCTCTGGGCTAAGATTTACAGTGGCATTGCAGATTATTGTTATTAATATTTAAATCTAGTGTTCACTAAATGAAATTATAAATTAAATATTGGGATGAAATTTGAGTATAACTCAATCAACAAAGAAATTAATTACCATTGAAGGTTTAATTTTCTACCTACATTTGTTATAAAAAAAATTATGGCTTTTTATTATTTCAGAACTCATGGCTCATGGAGTCGTTGCTGCTGTTATTATTTGCTAATTACTACGTTTTTTTATTTACTTTTTTTTGTAAAATAAATGTTGCGTAATTGATATCTTATCTACTAAATTCATTGTAATTGACTGGTCCAAATTTAAATAAAAAAAAACAAAAAAGAAAAACTGGTCCAAATTTTACCTTTATCCACTTCATGTTTGTTGATGTCCTTTTAGATTAATTTAATGGATTTAGTTCCCCACATTGATTCATTCCTTACTCCATTTTTAGCTTTTGCTTTTCTATCTATCATTCTCTCTCCTTTTTTTTTTTCTTTTTTTCCAGGTGGGTCATTATTAACTCTAAAGAACAGCACAACCCTTTTACATTATTCTGATTAGAGAGAGGAAAAAAAAGTTACAACTTTTAGATTTATATAAATAATTCCTCCCTCTCTAAGTCTTAAGCCAATGAAGCAGCTATTATTTTCCCATTAGCATGAGAAAAAAAAATTAATTTAAGAAAATTCACTTTTTTTTTTTTTTAATTTAGGTTGCTGAATCTTCTCAAAGCTGGTTGGAAAAAAGTTTTGCATTTGCTAAAGAAAAAGGAGAAAGAGAAAACATAAAAGAAAAAATCTTAGGCATTACTAATCAACTTTTTGATTAATGAAAAAGATATGCTTTTTCCCAAAGCAAAATTTTATGGCTTTAAAAGTTTTTAAGAAACAAAAACAGAATAATTAATAATCACTCTCCTACTATTTTCTTTCTCCCTCTCATTGAGATGTCCTAATTCCAAGATACTTTTTCAACTTTGCTTTAGACTGAATACGGAAATATGCATATCCACAAAATTTATATCAAGGCCAATTCGCTCACAAACGATGAAAATGTGACAGATTAAAAGGCAAGAAAGAAAGGAGAAAATTAATTTTCTAAAAAGTAAATAAAAAAGAAGGGAAAAAAAATTACAGACCCCATTTCTCCACTTTGATCTCTACATATTTGAGTCATTCATATTAGCATACGAATTGGATTTGTGGAGTTAAAAGTCGAGTCTACGTATAGTATTTTGGATTTACTTATCTTAAACTACATGCTTAGCTTAGCTTATTAATTTTGCTGCCTATGTAAAAACTTAAAAACTTTTGAAAATTGAATCTATTCATCACGCACACATGTTAAAATTAGTCTTTTCAGAGTTCAAAAACTGGCTGCACACATCCAAAATTTCCAATATGGGTCAAAAATATTATGGATGGGGTTGGTTTGGATTTTGTCTTTTGATTTTGCATCTGTTAATAGTCGGGTCCTATGAATTGAATCAGTCCATCCATTGTTAGAAACATTGTTGAATCTAAAAGGTTCTTTTCCCTCTTCCCAATAAAGTTTTGTTGGCAGAAAAGCTTGGTTTTGGTTTTGCTTTCAATATCTTTGCTTGGATGAAAACACACACTCTCTCTCTCTCTTGGGTTTTGATTATATGAGTTGCTTTAATTTCTTTATTCCAACTTTAAATAAAATACAATCAAACAGCTTGAAAGATATGGGAGTAGACAGCTTCAATCCCATGAATCTCTTGATAGACCTTTATTACTCATCACTTTGTTTTTGAGGACTTGGAATCATTGACACTTAGAAGGAAATCACTAAATCCTAGACGAATATTCCAGAATTAATTAATTAAATATAAAGTTTTTATTTTGCACAAATCATCTTATTTTATTTATACTTGGTGGCCTAGTAATTTACAATTCGTACCTCAACTAATAGTATCTCTGAAATACAATCACTTACCAATGATGTTTGGTAAGCATATAAGCATAATCCTTAGTCTAAACATAATTATATATTTTTTAGATAACAATGAAACAAATAACATAACTTAAAACCTACCAATCCTAACTCAATTAGTTAAGACATGCATTACAACTAATCTTCACCCCACGTATTATGTACTCGTAAAAGAAAAAAAGAAACATAACCTAAAACTTTCATTTCTCAAGGGATTGGGATAATTTCCCAACGACACCCTTTATTTTCCTCAAAGGAATAAAGTTGACAAGATCGGAATCCTACCTGGCCTGCCCATCACATCTTTCAAATTGCATTTACTTACTTTCCTGTGATACGCAACGTAAGCCCAGAGGCCGGCCTGAGTAAGAAATTCCAACGCTTCTCTTGAGAAATACACTAATCAGAACGTAAAAGAAAATGATGGGGCCATCCGAACAAATCAAAGATACGATAATGAACGCAGAACTGAGATCAACAAGTAAATGAGTTAGATTTATTTTTCACATTCTGATGAGGTAAGGAGTTCAATTTTTATACAGAATTATCATTTTCCATGGAAGCGGCTGTGTGCTTGTTGAGGCAAATGCCAGTTAATAAAAGCTGACGACTATGACCAACTTTGTCCCCATTTTCTTTTTCTTTTCCAGGAAATTTACAACCACAGAAATGGCAAGGAACAGAAGAGACAGCTAACTACAAGCTCAAATCCTGCGGCAAGCTGATTTCCAGAAAATAAAGGCTGCAAAACCAGTGAGATTGTGAGATCAGATAGGTATAGATCAAGCAGAAAGAAACCAGGCAGTAAATTGTTGATGACTATGACCAACCCTTTATCCCCATCTTTCTTATTCATTCTCTTTTCAGCCCCAAAACAACTGACACTAGACTTAACGAGCGAAACTTCATAACTACTTCAAGTATGTTTTTCACAAAATTATTGAACACCAAACATCTCCTCAACTGAATCCACCTTCCTATGTTCTTTTAAAATTTTTCCCTTTTACTACTTTGCTTTCCATTTTCCTTCTTCCCTTGGGGGCAGGGGACTCGAGAGTAGAATTGAAGCAGTGGCCATTAGCAATGAAACAATAGCAATCAAGAAAATTAAATGAGTTAATTCACTTTCACTACAGCAATGTACTTAATGGTTGTTTTCACCAGCAGATGGTCTTGAATATGGCTACTAAACATACAAACCTGTGAATGTTAATGGCAATTTAAGATAGTAATGCAGCAATAGATGGTCAGCTACTTTTTCCCATGTCTTCTTACCTTGCTGACATGAAAGCCATCCCTAAGAAGACTACTTTCACAGCTTGCTTCTGTCCAGCATAATCAAATGCCAGAGGCAGCATTTCATGTAGAGTTAAAAAAGCCATTACTCCACCAACTGGAAAAATGAAATACATAGAATAAAACAATGTCCAAGAGAATTCAAAAAGTAATCATTCAATTGTTAATTTGAGTGCTATGCTTTTCCATACCAGATCCTAGTAGGCCTTCAAGAATTTCAGGACTCAAGCTGCTTGGAAATAAGTAGGCTGCAGAAAAAATACATTTAAATGTGAACTTTTTTTCAGATGTCCTCAAGGCATTGTCTATAAGTCTCAAGTTAAACACCATATAACAAATCAGCCACTCTTCTTACATATATCATTGCATTCAGTCGATATATTTCACAGTTTGAACCAGTAAATGGTATCACTATCTAAAACTGATGCACACACATCATTAACATTACCTACTCTTACTCCTACATTACCAACGCATGGCCATCAGTATCACTTAGGAAAACCGGCTTGAATATCCAGAGAAAGAACACCTTGCTTTGGCAAGTGGTTATTTCATGCAATTAGACATACCTACGATTATAACACCGAGGGGCTCAGCAAAACCTGATAGAGTGGCCAACTTGAATGCCTGCCATTTGCTGAGGCACGTAAAAGCAACAATAAATGTACCATATTCAATCCTTCACATTGGATATTGTAAAATATATGACAACAGTGATGTGTGCATTCAATTACCATTTTTCCAGTGATAACTTTGAATGCCTAAGCTAATTTATGTGCATCTTCTTAATGTCATGAGTCTATTGCTCAACCTAATAATATTTGGAGTAAAAGATTCGTTGGTGACCAACAAAAATTGAACCCCATTGTCTCAGAAGTACCTAAAATTTCATGTTCGATTTAGGGGAGTTAATTGGAAAATTCATTAATCGATAAAACATTTCACTAGAGGGGGGAGTGACTAATGAGAGCAAAAAAAGGTTCTCTTCCCCAATTCCATAACATAAATTGAAATTATCCATTACATAAGTCCTCACCTCTGTGTAGCAAAATAAACAGGAAGCGCAACCGCCACACCCTGCACAATAATATAAGTCATATCATGGACAATTTCCATGTGGCATTTTCCGTGGTAGTTAATTTTGTTTCCACTAGTGCAAATGAAAGTCTGAAGAAAATGATGAATAGAATTATGCCAACAAGAGGTATATCAGATACTTATAATTTTTACACCCAAAACAAACAACATTTCAGTTTCTTATTTATTCGAGGTGTGTCCAAACTGAAAAATGGAATGATAGGGAAAAAAGAAAAGGTACAACATTCATTGTTAAGACCAATAAATTTAATATTAATTGTCACACAAATGTAAGAGAACAAACAATGTCCACCAACCAGTGAACAAGAGCTAATAACATATATTTGGCACCAGAAAATGTTAGATCTACTCCATTCTATGTATGCCATAATATTTATACAAGGCTATCAGTCCAGAGAATCCATGGAAGGAAACTGCTAAAAAAAATGATATATACACCTACTTTCATAGAAAAGCAAAAATGTGGACTATAGAACAAGCGATTAAATACCTCAGGTATGTTGTGCAAGGCAATGGCTAAGGCTAAGTTTACACCAACACGAAGGCCCTACATAAAATTAAAAAGAAATTCGATGGCTGTTAGCAGTAATAAGCAATAGCAAGTGGGTCATTCTTTTCAACGTTCCAGATCGGCGAAGAATGATAGTAGTAAAATTAGTATATTAAAATCATAACTTAGTCTTCCATAAATTCATTGGCTGTAAAACAAATAATTGAGAATATTATTTTCAACAGTACAGCAAGAAAGGATTCGGCAATTGCACACTGACAGATATCAATTGTATTATTTGAGTTTCTTTAAACAGAGATCTAACAACATTGTTAAAGGTACATTAAACAAGAGATATGCAGAGGTATACCTTCATCGATCCAAGAAAAACAGCCATCCCTTCTGGAAAATTATGTAAGCTTATACCTGCATTTCATAAGACTAAATTAACAATCTTCTTTATTTTTCAGGATGTGTGGTTCTCGGGAGAAAGTAAACTATTGAAAACCATCATTTGATGCATTTGCCTAAGCGCTCAACTAGCTAGAAAATTAAATTTAAGGAAATCTACACATTCTTTTAACAAATTATATAGAACAAAAACATATACATATGTACATGACAGTTGTACGTGTACCTATTGCTGTTATTATGCCACTGTATAGAACCTGTCGACGATGCTTTTTCATAACGTCCTTTCCCCTTTCATCCTTGTCCTATCATCCAGTTTAGAGTCAAACTCTAGAGATCAATTATTATTATTTATTATTCATTTTTGTAATGCTTTACTGTGGATAAAGTGACTTTGGAGGACAATGAATCACAACCTTCTTACTTTTGGTATCTGAACCAGGAGCAAGTGTAGATTCTGGGACGAAATGAGCAACAAAAGCAAAGAAGATTACACCTGCAAAAAACTGTAGTACAAATAACATGACACTTCATAAATGTACAAGCATTAACATAATTCAATAAAAGGCATGAAGATGACACATATTAGATAAAATGCTGAATGAGTATTTACCCAAAGGTTTCCTTTTAAGAATCCGATTGAGTTAATAGCATTATGAGCTAAATCCAGGAACGAAATGCTCAACATTAGACCTGCAGCAAAACCCTGCAATTAAGACTCGGTGATTTAGACAAATCCATGGAATACAACTGATCTTTAACATACATATTAGTGGACACATGGTAGAAAACTGATGGGCAATAATAAAACACCTAATTGTAGGAATTATTACTGTTTTAAACTTAGGAACAAGTAAAAAAAATAAAAAATAAAAACCTACATTGCAGAGGTATCTGACAAATATAAACTTGAGCAACTTAAATTCATGCTAAGCTACTATAATTAGATAGAGTTGGACTTTGAATCAGATTAAACTAGAATGTTTCATCATAGAATCAAAATAAAAATCTATTTCATTTTAGCTCGGGCCAATAATATTTGTAGTTTGATATAAACCATTAATAAATGCGTTTTACTTTATCTCAGACAATATTCCATTACTTCAAAGTCGGGAAAAGAATGGGAAAGAAACGTAATCCCCACTCCAACCTAAGGAAACAACAGAATCACACACAACTGGACAATAGAGTCTCCTTGGTAACCGTCATTTCCCTTTGAGTGAACCAAACATGCCAACAAACATTGAAGCCCGTCTTACATTCAACATTAAAATGAAATTGCATTCTTATATTTTAAGTTTTTTTCAGCTTTACCCCTCCAATTTTTTCAATTCAATAACTTATAATTATATGATAACTGTAAAATTATAATCCTGTCCGACAACTCTATGTTAGATTTAAATGAGATTCCTACATGGTGTCAGGTGAATGCCTGCAATCTTTTTTGAAAATTTAAAACACAGATATACCATAAATATAAGAAAAGAAAAGGGCAGTTTACACCTTTTGGTAAAGGAGAGAGGTTGTGCCCCTTTCTTCTCCTTCTTCCTCTTTTTTTAAATCTAAACTTACTTTCTTTAATTCTTTTTTTTTTTTATTAACACTTTCAAAAGAGATTAAGGAATAATCCATATGGTGCCACTGCCACATAAGCACAGCAAGATGTAAATAGTGGATATAATTTCACAACAACCATAAGGGTGAAAATTGCAACTGCAAGTGACTTTGTACAGAGGTATAATTGTCAACGTTCATTATGAACATATAAAAAATAACAGATAAGAAAATGTTGAGCATTTTATCACCACTGATAAACAATTTTCCAGGATTGAGTTTATGCTAGGAAGCTAGGTAATGACCCGCCCCAAACAACCCAAAAAAGGGAAAAAGACCTCCAAGCGTCACCTGTAAAAGACCGAGCATCTTCAAATTTGGGGTGTCACTGAGAATCACAAAAAGCGCACCTGTTCCAAATGTTATGAACATAAAAATGAGTCTGGTATTATAGAATGCCAAACAGAAGTGATAAGGCCTATTATTTTTCGTCAAAATTCCTGAACTTATAAGCAGGATAATAGAAAGTCGAAGTATTGGGTGTGCACAATAGTACTCGTAAAACCAGTTCCAAAGAAGGAAAACGAAAAAAGGAAAATGCAATAAAACCTTGATCAGAAGTTTTTAGAAGGCACAAAAAATATCATATCCAGATGAAAATACTTCATAGAGAAAATTTAACAGTTTAATCATACGAGAGTAATGAACGAATTCAACTTGTGAAGCCTTGAGATATGACTTTGAAGTGCTCTTTTCTATATGCATGAGCATGCGGCAGGCAGTGAAAGAAAATTGGGAAGTAACTTATAAGTAATGAAGAAAATGATAACGGATAGATGGTTTTCAACAGCTTGGAACTTGGAAAGTATCTTCTACAAAATCACAGGAGTAAATTTTCTCACGATTCTCAAAAGCCCATCGACTTGAAAACCTCCTTACCGGATAGATATAATCTAATTACAAGAAAGCCCAATCATAAATAATTTTCTGAACATCAATTTACTTCATGACATATCATATCAAATAAACATCTCAAATTAAATTTGGTTTCAAATACTTCACAACATAAACCGAACGATGACCAAGAATGAAGAATAAACGAACAAGAAAAAGGGAAAACCCACCTAGTAAGGTCTACAACAAAGTATCGATAAGATAACATTGAATTAGAACCAGACTCATACAGCAGATTACATTACAGAAGCAAGATTGACTGACCTAGAGAGGTACTGAATCCACCCACAAGCGAAAGTGCAAGAGCTACCAACACCTGAGAAGTCATGGAGGTGGTCTTGTATCCGTATCCCGGATTCAAAGGTGTCGGTAAGAACAGCAATAAACCCACAGAAAAACCTGTAGGGAAATTCGGAGAGATTGGCGAAGGAAAGCTAACGATATAGATAAGTATTCAAGAGGTATTGCGCGCGCAACAGAGAGAGATGACAAAATTCTGATGGCAGCGAGGAACTTGCCGCTACAGAATCAATATATAAATGGATTACAAAAATTTTCCCCCTTTTTATTACAAGAATCAAATGGATTAGAGGAATTTGATTGCGGCGTGAGGGGGATTTTATTTTATTTTTATTATTATTATTATTATTTTTAAGTACATCGTGAGGGAATCTTTGCGGCGAAAGAAAGAGATGGTTTGGGAAAGTTGTCCAAGAAAGCTGGGCGCATTCGGTTCATTCTTGTTTATCCTATATTTCTCTTTTGAATAATTCCTAAAATTGTAAATTGAGATTTTTTTTCCCTTTCTCCGGTGTAATAAGTCGAGATTCGAATTCACGATCGAAAATAAGTGTCTAAACCAACCGAACTATATTTGATTTGACAATTGTAAAGTGTTATTAAATCTAGGTATAGGTTACTTTTTTATTGAATTTTTACTTTTCTTTGTCTGTTTTCAGTTACAAATTTGATTGGTCATTGGAGCCTAGTATATCTTCTTAATTCTCATAATTTGAATTGCTACTAACATGTCCTTGTATCTAATGTAGTGTCTAAATTTCAATACCGAAGTGAATTGATCATTACTTTGTGAAGTTGCGTTTCATGTAATTTGAATTCAAGACCTCAAGGATATTATTCGAAATTCTAAGTCACCCAAACTTATCCTTTGTGAGACAGTTGACTCCATACGATGTATATTGGATAAATGTTAAACTAAAATTTACCTAGTAATTGATGGGACCTTTGATTGCCCTATTGTTTTTAAAAATTAAGATTGTTTTTGTACAATTTATTAGTAGGATTTTTCACCTCTATTGACAGTAGGTTTGAATTCTTAGTTGAATTAAAATATATTTTTTTAATTTATAAAATTTGATATATATTTGGAAAATATTCCTAAAAATTTTATAACGAAAACAAATCAACATATAAGCAAAAGCAAGGTTTAAAAATTTAATTTTTAAAAATAAAAAATAAAAAGTGAAATGATTATCAAATCATTTATTGCGATTTTTAGTAGGCACAAATGACCTCTCACTTATATGAAATCTTTATAGTTAAGACTTACCAAATTGATTTGGTTAGTTGCAACTTTAGGGATGTGTGACCCTAATTTTTAGATTGGTAAAGAAGTGTTGGCTTATTCAAAGAATTTTAAAAAAATTTCGCAATGTTTTAGTTAGAAAATAAAAAGTAATTTTGAAAATTTAAGACCACGAAGAAACAAAAAACACTCTTAACAAATTTTTTTTTTTTCAAAAGTGACTATAAAATAAGCGTTTTTGATTGAAAATTTTTCTTTTTTGCAAAAACTATTTCAATTTCATCACTTCTAAACTACGAGATTATTGCAATTATACCATCAAATATGTAAAATTATTGCAAGTAAACTCAACCACTTGTTGTAAATTGTAATAATAAAATTTGATTTCGGTGATTTTGTAACTCTAAAAATGATTGGTTGCCAACTCACAACTTAATCTTAATAACGTCTCCTAAAGTCTCACTTTCAAATCTTCACCTATCCGTCAAAGCGAGTATAATTTAGCGGTAATTGATATATATTTCCAACCACGAGGTTGTGAGTTCGAATCCCCTCCTCAACATATTATACTGAAAAAGAAAATCTCCACCTATCCTTTTAACTAATAAAAATTATTGACAGGAGCATAACTCAACTAGTTAAAACATTTATCTCAAACCTAACAATCGTGGGTTGAAATGTCTAATCCTCATATATTATACTACTAAAAAAATGCTCAAATTAAAATTAAAGTATGTGATTGTAAAAACACAGTGACTATTTCTTTTTCTGTTTTACTTTTCCCTATTTCTACCTCTACTTATATTAGAGTTTCAGAAAAATTGCATACGTCATTGGGAATATTTAAATATAAAAAACTAATTTAACATTAATTTTTGAATATTGCATAAATGATACTATATTTACACATTATCTTTTCTTTTTCCTCCCAATATTAGATAATCTAATATTCAAATTTCAAATTAAAACTTAGTTTAACAGGTCGGAAATTCGAATATCCTCCTCTCTGCTTTATACACACAAAAAAATTACTAGTTAATTAAAAAATTCATACCAAAATTAACTTTATAGGAAGGTGACTTATGAACAGATATATAAATAAAGGTGATTTTCTTTTGAATTGTAACATCTACGAAATAACATGAGTTTAACTCAACACTTGTCTCCAGATAATTTTTGGAAACTAAACACTGATGCGGCTTGGCATGCGAACCAAGGGGTGGGAGGTCTCGGATGGATAATCAGGAACGAGAAGAGAGAAATTAAGAAAGCAGGAGGACAAACTATCACTGATGCGCGAGACATTACTTACTTGGAGTTAATGGCGATTTGGCTAGGGATTGAAGCGGTTGTGTCTTCTTCTTCGGTTTCGCTAATAATTGAATCGGAGTCATTGGAAGCGATCCATCTTATTCAAGGAATCCAACAGAATGTGACTGAGATCTTATGGCTGGTGCAGGATATCAAGAATTTTGGTGAGAGAGCACGATTGAAGAGATTCCAGCACGTCCAAAGGGACGGAAATTCTGTTGCCCAAGAAATTGCAAATCGAGCGGCTGATGGTTTGGTGGAGGAAAATTGAGGCGCTAACTACCCGTCTTGGTTGTCTATTTTAGCTCATAATGATCTAATTTTCTATTTGTTTGCTGTTATCAAAAAAGGAAGAAAAAAAAAAAAACTCAGCACTCGTCTCCAAATTATCCACTCAAAATGAAGAGTAATTCCAGATTTCAACGTAAACTAGAAAAGTGAAAAGTAAATAGTGGGAGGGCCAAACCGAACATATTTAAGTCGTTAAGGTATTTATCTTTGACCAAAAAGTCATGAATTTGCAAATTCCTCAATTGTACTGACAAAAGAGAAGAATAATGGAGGGCATTAAGTTAGGTTTAATTGAGTGAACAATTAAAAGATTTAATTGAGAATGATAGTCTAAACAACCACTAGAGAGAGGCCACGTGGCTGCCCCGGTCAGTAAGATAATCTCTTTATTAACTACTGCATCTAAGTCCGCTACGGGACGGGCAGAGAGAAGAAACGGTCTCTCTCTCTCTCTCTCTCTGGTTCTGCTGTCTCTCTCTCCTCAGTGATTCAAAAACTTATTCAGGTTAGGTTTTTAAATTTCTTCCTCTTTTTGCGCCAATTCATTTGGATTTCACTTTAATTTCATTGTTTTACTGATCACTCTTCCTAATTCCATTTCGGACCCTGATTTTCTTTTCACTTCTCCTCTCTATATATGTATTAAAAGCCCAGGTTTTACTTTCCATGGGATTCTGAGCTCTTCGATCCACCATAAAGATTCGTCTCTCGGACTCGGAGATATCTTTCCTCAGGTTAGCACTTAGGGCTTATGTTCTGTTCCTCGTCTTGGTTTTGGTTTCACTGAATACTCCTATTGCTCATGATTTTTGTTTTTTGTTTTCTAAACTATGTTGTTCAGTTGTTAGAGATATACGGAGTGGGGGTTTGTGTAATGCGTGTGGAAATATAATATTTGGGATTTTCTATCCATTTTAGATTATGTCTTTTTTTGGGCTACTGATTGGCGTTTCATGGTTTTCGCCAAGCTGTGGAAGCCATCGAAACGTATTCAAATTTCATATGATTCTATATGGGGACGGAGTTGCAAGTTTCCCTTACAGTTCCCTTTCGCAATTCGATTAGTAGAAATTTTGAGAGCGCTTATGAAATTAAGCTTCCTACGAAAGGCTCAAATTACTAGAGCGACTCACTACCTCTGTTCTCCTTTTTAACTTGCTTTTTAATTATTTCTATGAAACAAACAGTTCTCTCTCGATGAACTATATCATCAAGGAAGATCATCACTCTGTGTCATAACGTCATGTGCACAAGTCTTGTTATGCAATCGTCATGTGAAGATTATATAACCTCCCTAGATGATGTAAAGTACTTTGTTTGTAGCTGACACATTTGTTTTGTGCTAGAAGTGATCTCTTACGTTGCCATTAGAAGTGAAGAGAGATGACCCTCGGAGAGCAAACTTACTTTAAGAGTGAGGAGAGGGACCTTATGGTATGAGGTTAATTCCCGTTAACAAACTTCCTGTGGACGACAAAGAAAGGTTTAAGAATTCTTCAACAAAGGATGGAAGAGGGGACTTTGAAAAGGATGGAACTTAGGATTGTTGATTTTCATTTTCGCTTATACTATTTATCTGTCTCATCCTCCATCTTACATTCACTGAGACGAGTGCTTTAAAGTAAAATTAAACCTTGCTGAAAGATAAATGTGATATAATTGGTGGTTTGAAAATTTTAAAACGGTGAATTTTTGTCCATTGATTTGGTGTTTTGGCCAAACTATGTATCCAATCTCTAAACTGCTAGTCAAATTTCATTGTTTAGGTATTGAACTGATTGTTATTTCAAGTCTACTTAGAAATGGATAATTTCATAATGGAGGCATTGGGGTAAAGATTTTTTCACTGTCTGCACAAACTTGTCTATATCCATGTCTAGTTCGTTGCACAAACTTGTTTATGGACGAAAATGGGTAATTGGTCTTTTTGAGCCAATTAAACTTTTCAGAGAATGTGTTGCAATTTTCTCATATGAGATAAATGATTGCAGAGACCACCATCCCCCCCCAAAAAAAAAACACTCTTGTTGGGGTAGGGATCATAGTAGTGATACTACTACTTCATTGTTGTTCCTTGATTCTGGATGAGGTATAGGATCCTCAGGTAAGCTTTCTTCTGGCTACCTCAAAAAATATCTCAATCTTTCTATGTATCATCTATTCAAAATTGGGGACATAGGACCGATGCCAGACTTCAGAATGATTACAGTCTAGGAACCACATGAGATATTCATATTTTAATATTCCAAGGTGTTGGCCTCCGTGGTTTTCAACCAATAGTTAGTCATTATGCACCACTGTTTGGTTTAGGTAATTTTTGTTGTAAATTTCATCTTCTTTTCTTTTCGAGTATTTTGAAGTGATTTTGATGCAGTATACTCTAAAAGATGGATCCCCATGACGAGGCTGGATGCCAAGCCCCTCCGGAGGGTCCTTTCCTGTGCATCAACAACTGTGGCTTCTTCGGCAGTGCAGCAACTAAGAACATGTGCTCCAAGTGTCATAAAGATATGATGCTGAAACAAGATCAGGCTAAGCTTGCTGCTTCATCTATTGAAAATTTTGTCAATGGATCGTCTAGTAGCAATAAGGAAGTACCTCTACCTGACAGTGTTATCGATGGTGCCATTTCTGTGGAACCAAAAACTAGTCAGTCACATGCACTGCCTGCAGTGGGATCTGTGGAGGGTGAGGAGGCAAAACCAAAGGAGGGTCCAAAACGTTGCAGCTCTTGCAACAAGCGTGTTGGTCTAACAGGCTTCAATTGTCGGTGCGGTAACGTATTTTGTGCAGTGCATCGTTACTCTGACAAACATGACTGCCCTATCGATTATCACATGGCTGCACAGAATGCTATAACCAAAGCCAACCCTGTCGTCAAGGCTCAAAAGCTCGATAAGATCTAGATTTCTTAAGACGAGTTTGTGTCCTAAATCGATGTTCATATCCAGCTGTGAGGTGGTTTCCGATTTGCTGCAAATCTATGTATTGTCGCTTTATGTTCATATATATGCTGAAGAGATTGCAGTTACAATATATCCGAATTCTGAAAAATCTATTTGCTTGTGATTCATTGTTTGTGGTTGTTTCAATGGACATCATCGTTGTTGGCCTTGTAATGCTCTCTTTGTGTTGTAGCCGTCCTCTTGACTACTATGAGTGACCTCGCTGTTTAGTATTTTGAGGCCGAGTTGGAAATTTTCTGATGCCCTTATGTTTGGCCTTCTTAGCTGTTGTTCTGGTCTTATTTTGCAACATATTGTCAAGGAGTTACCATGTAAGCAGCCTACTCGAATTCCAGAACAAATGTTCTCTGCATAACAGACAATCAAATTTCTTCAGGTTTATTTGGTATTCGTTTTTTTCTATTTAAAGAAGTATTGCTAATAAAGTTAACTCTTCAGTTGAGATTACTTTTTGGGACAGGTGGAAAATAGAAGCATAAAGCTGAACACCTGGTCTCTCTAAACATATAGGCTAGTTAATTTTGCATTAAAATTTGAGCATGATTCTGAGTGGGAGAAAATGGTTTGGAAAAGTATTTTTTGCAGAGTAAAGAAAGATTCTGTTTTTGGCTTTCAAGTTGAAAGAAACTGCCATTGAATAGTTGAGAAAGTGAGGCTAATATTTCACAAAAGAAAGTTGACAAAAGGAAAAGGCATAGAGCTTTTTCTGTTGTTAAGGGAATATGAGGTAAGTGGACCACTTCTCTCTTTCTTTTATCTGACATTGCAGAATCCAAACATATCAACTCCAGATGGTTCCACGCCATTCATATTCATATTCATATTCAGAAAATAAATAAGTTGAAGGGAAAGTGTTCAAAACATCACCAATTGCTTAAACAATGACTGGTAATGGCATTAGCTGGTAGGAAATTGGGCTCAATTACACACACCATGGTTAATTTGAGGCTTCTTTTGGAGCCCAAGATGGCCCATCATCTAAGAATGGTTTTGATGAAATTTAAGTGGAAAAGATACTCTCTCTTTGAGAATTTAATACTAAAATTAGGAAAATTATGGGTAGGGATTCTATGTTTGACCAATTGACATCATATCTATTTAATCTTGTTTAAGTTGACAAAATTAATGTAAATTGATACTTTATTTTTGTGATTGAGACGATTTTCTATCGACCAACCCCACTTTGATGATAATCGATGACATTGTTTTAAGGAGCACAACTGTAAATATAACATTGACCAAAACTCCACTATGTTAGAAATGGATAGAAGATTATAAAAGATGGTATATTATTAGTTAGTTAAATTTTGAGTGGTCCTCCACCACGGTGAAATATATATATAACAAAATCTGGAAAATAATTGTGGGAAAATTAAAGAAAGTGAAACGTATATGTGGTAAAATCAAGATTGGATTGCATACATTGAGGATCCATATAAACATAATTATACAAAGTTATAGAGGCTACGGTTGAATCAGTTTTTAGTTTTTTGGGATTGCATAGAACGAGACAATGCCATGCACATGCCCTTTGGAGATGCATGTTTCGTGGAAATTAACAATTTGATCTACTCATCATCCAATTTTGTCGCACTTAGTTTAATTTATATACATTATAATTTCATATTCCTTTTTTTTTTCCCCTTGCTTTTTGTTTTTGTGGTGGGACTGTCGAGGGAGCCCAGCAAGTTGGCCTTAACTTGAACTAATCAAATCCACCATTGTTCTTGTTTGTTCATCAAATTGAAAGATGATATTTTTAAAAAATAATAATTAATGGGAAAGAATGGGAGAAAAATGTTAACCTGGTCCACTCGAAGAAACAGTACAATTAATCATGTGCATAGGCGATTTTGTTTTACCATTGGTCGAGAGCCAAATATAACTCGAGATTTGCTACACTTTTCATTTGTTAATTAATCTCACTCGTCCTATTGTTAATGAGCGATGTTGGATGTAACAAAATAAAATTGATGTGACGTTGATGAAAATTGATTTAGTGTTGATGTGAATTAACATTAAGCTTGTACAACTACAATATTTGTACTAAAAAAAAAAAAAGCTTGTACAACTAACAGTTATCCCTTTTTTTTAAAAAAAAAAAAAAAGTACATGATATTATACTTCTGGTGAATGTTGAGAAATGGTAGTTTACTTCTAGTCAAGACATTTAAGAATTATCAAATGTATAAAAAGAAAATAAAAGGAGGAGGTATCAAAACCATCGACCCATGTGAGCTCTCGGGAAAGATTAGTCATATTTTACCAGATTCAATCTCAAAATCAATTGCACCAATTTTGGTCGAATCCCAACTTTGATTGGATGCTCTGTCAATTTTTGTGGAGTTACATTCAATTGGTTATTAAATAAGAGTAAAATTAGCTAGAGAAAGAAGAACTATCTGTACAGTTATTACACTTATTTTAATTAGGTGAAATAAAAGTGTGTGGTGGAATTTTTATTTAATGGCATCTAATAAAATATATATTTATAAATTGGAGTGCAACGTAACTAAATATTTATAGAAAGTTAAAGCGAGCATAGGAATTGATATATATCTCTAACTAAGAAGTTGTGAGTTGGATTTCCTTACCCCACATGTTATACTAAAAAAAATATTAAAAGCAAGCTCTTAATCATCTGAAACAACGTTTACAATTTTTTTTAATACAACATGTGAGGTAGGGGATCAAACTCACAACCTTTTGGTTAGAGATATATGTCAATTATTGCTGACCTACGCTTGCTTTGGTAATGTTAAGAAATATTGATGTGATTACAAAATTCAAGATATTTGTAGATATTTAGTGTAATATTGTATTATGGTTTACACCAATTTAAGATATTCACGGAAATCTACCGCCACGTGTCACGAAACTGGACTAGATCTCCAAATAGGTCTTGAGCAGGATGTAGACACTCAGAAGGAGTAAGGGAGCTCGAAGACGAATCCAATATCCATATACGGCCACCCAATTCTCCATTCCGTGACATCCGAGATACGATGTAAATTTTGGGAGGAATTAAAGAACAATAAATGACCTTTTAACCCTTGGAATGCACCACAGTCATAGAAAGAAGATACCGTTAGTGATTAACACTACAAAAGGTAGAAAGAGGATGGTTTACAGGTAGTGTGAATTTCGAATGTCTTAAGTTTAATTAGTTCAGATCTCTACTAATTTGAGTGTCGGAGTGCTTACCTCTCTCTTGCAGATTTCACGAATTTATTTAGTGTCCAATTTCGTGCTCAAACTTGAGTAAATTAAAGAAGGAAATCCCTATCCTAATTATTGAAGAACTAATTCTTCTTCCTCCCTTCTCGGCTCGTGTGTTGACATATATTTGACTGACATTTATATTGTTCATAGAGAATAAAAATGGAACTAAAAGAAGAATGGAATTGTAAATATGGCCAAATTAAAACAAACAAAATCTCATTATTAGCAATTAAATTATCAAAATTTTATAGGAAATAAGGAGTATAATCTAGCTTTTTGTTTTTTAACTTAATCAGTTTAATTAGGTTCAAATTGGTATAATTAGCCCACTTATAAACATTTAAAAAAAAAACAACAACCACGACAATAAGATTGCCCTAATTAATGTAGCAAATGTGAATGATCCCAATAAAATTTCTTTTTGTTTTTGAGTATATCCAAGAAATGATTCCACTCATATAGAAATAAAAACTTGAATTTTGTTTCACCTAGATATTAGTCTGGTCTAGTCTTAAATGATAACTCAACTGATAAAAGTCTGATTTAAGAGAGGCCCCTAGCTGATCACTTGTATTATCTTTATTTAAAAAATGAAGGGTAGTTGGAAATGATGCATAGGAAAATAGATCCCCAAAACCTAAAAAGTGGTATTAAGTTTCCACACATATTCTCATATTCTCATACTGGTACGATACTGGATGACAGTGAAACAACAAAACAAGCAACGTAAATCAAAATTAGCAGTCTGTGTGAAAATTAATATAAAAAAAAAGAAGTTTGTGGTGGCTGTAATTTGGACTAGCTGGATTGGATTAGAGGAGTGAATTAATTATTTGTGGCCCAAACCCTAACCCTAAAATTGAGAATTGAGAATTGAAACGGGTGGTCCGATTCGAGTCGACACGAGCACTTTCCCGGCGATTACTCCCACAGTCCCACGATGGTGTTGGAAAAATCTGCGTTCTATTAATTACTTTTTTCTCGTTTTATGCATGGGTTCTCGTGTGCATCTTTGTCCCTAAACGCCCTCTTCTACCCTCCTTATTTACCCTCCCTATCCTTCCCCCCCTTTTTTTTTTCACTTTCATTGAAGATAGTGGATTCGGGTGTTTTAGATTCCAACTTATTATTTTTTTATCGGAAATAAATATCTTAATTAGTTGAATCCGAGATTCGAACTTATTATTTTTGATTCGAAATAAGTATCTTATAATTAGTTGAACCAAGAAACACATTTCCTTCCATTTACTTGATCCAAGTACAATTTGGTCCCGAAAATTTTGTAGCAATTTGTCTCTGAACTTTAATATTAAAGATTTTAGATTTTATGGATTCTACTTATATATGATTCTTTTTTTTTTGTTCAAATGCTCTTTATTTTTAGAGAAATTATAATTGGTGGCAAAATTGGTCCTCGTATAAAAAATTAATTTGTAAATACAAAACAATATTTTATCTTATCATTTCTCTAACTTGGAGTCCTCTCCTTTTAAGCCTTCTCTTTTTATGTTTCTCACCTATATTTAATGAGGTGGTGCCCTTTTTCTAAAAAATAAAAGTATTTTATCTCATATATTACTGATATATCTTATTTTTCTATTGTTGATAAAGTATATATCATTGATATATTTGATAAAGTGCATCGCATTACTACTCATGATATGATAAAGTGTATCACATTAATATCCAATTTTGTATCATCGATAAAATCGATCACAAGTATACCATATAAAATATAACATTCATATACCATTTTTGTACTATTAATAGAATATAGTAAAAATATCAATTTTAACCTTGAACTTATCAAGGTGAGTAAATTTTTACTCAAAACTTTTAATTTTTTCAAAATTTCACTTTAAACTTTGATAAATGTTGCAATATATTATATATATCCTAAACTTTAACAAGTGTTGCAATTTTTACCGTCTCATAGCTTTTCGTCTGAAAAATTACTGAAAAAAAGTATTCTCGTGTATTAAATGAACTATACAACATATATTTAATATGAAATTGATAGGATCTAGACAAAAATAACAACAAACCGTGTTTTTTTTAGTTGAAATTTGCAGGCTTCAGCAGGCGAAGAGGTTGTTAGTTTGTTGAGCTGTATGTTGCAACTGTCCTCTATGTTAATCTTGAAATTACAATTTTAAGTATCTCCTAACCCACAACTGTTTAACTAAATATATATCTGTATGATCATGCGGAAAATTTACCATTATTTAGACTAAATTAGCTATTATCCCCAAAGTCTTATTATTATTATTTTGTGAGTTGAACGCAAAAGTTCGTTGTTGTTTCTATTAATTGAAGTATAAAATTAAATGTGTTTATTAACTCTCGTCATTTTTTGTTTTTAGGCATTGGTCAGTTTTATGGTCACATTCCTCCGAATCTGCCGCAGAACCTGAAACGGCGTATGGTTCTGATTGGGCGGCTTCACCGCAAAATGACGGTGGCTGTTGCTGCCTAATCCTTTTCGGCCTCCATACAGTTTCCAATACAAATTACAAACACAAATCGCAGACGCAGATTACTTAACTTATCCTCTTTAAACACCCAAATCCAATTTAGTTTGCACCAAAAGTCCAGTGTTTTTGAACACCCACTTCTTTATTTCACACTGCTTTGGATTTCCTCATACTGTAAATTGTAATTAATTAATTAATGTGTGGTTTAACAGAATTTATTAATTAATTGTGCAAGAGACGTGGGCTTTTGCCCCCCCTTCCTCTGCTACACTTCAGTCAACGCAAACTCAGAACAATTCTTCACCCATTCTCATTGTCAGGTGACTTCAACAACTTTTTCTCTTTATTTAATTCTTTTTGTGCTTCCATTCTTGATCTGCGCTCAAGTTTTTTAGTCTTTTTTTAACTCTGACAGTTGAGTCTTGTCAGGACCATTACCATGTGTATATTATACATACAAAATTATTTCTTAATCTGAAAAGTTTCAACTTTCAAGTCTGTGTTTTCTTTTCTTTTTGTTTTTACTTTTAGGGCATACCACATGGATTTCGTTTCCTCATTGGGACCAAATTTTCAATTTTGGATATATATATTCAATACAGAGCCTTCTTGGAAGCAAACTGAGCAAGAATTTTTCTATCTCAATTTTATAACATCTAATCTGCCAGCTGGAACATTCTTCATCAATCTAATTTAGGGTTTCTCATGTCAGTCTGGAATTTGGATCCACCCCTCAATCTATTCTTATGAATTTTCAACTTTTCTCTATGTATTTTTATTCATTTCAAAATCTTATCCAATTTTTATACATATCAAATATGCATGCATGTATGTGTTTATGCTTTTCATTTTGTGGGAGTTTATTATTATTATTATCTCCATTTTCTTTTTGTTCCTTTTCTGTTTTTAAAATCTGAGGTTTGTTTCTTTATCATTTAGGTTTTTTGTTTTTCACTTTCTCTAACATATGAAAACTTTTTTTTTTTCAAAATTGGATTATTAACCATAGAAATATTTTGAAAAGTAAATTACAAAATTAAGAATTTATGAGCAAAAGAATCTTTTTTTTTTTCTGGAAGGAGAGAATCCTATTTTAGAGTTGTTATTAAATTGGGCAATTGATTCTTTAGGATTTTGTGTTTTTTTTTCCCTTTTTGAAGAAAGATATAAATATAATATAGTTTAATTTCTAATGTATTATTTGGAAATATGTTAACTTTTAATAAAGCTAGTTAACAGTTACAAAGCTGAAGTGTTATTTACAGATTAATATATAATAAATCTAACTTTGTTTCTCATGTTGTACTTAAAAAAAAAATCTAATTGTGTTCCTAAGTTAAAAATGATTAATTGAAGTGCTCAAAATGCCTATTAATCCTTTGCACAACAAAAAAAATGCTATCTTTGATAATTAACATTTCGATAATTTGTTAATTTCAGTAAGCTGGGTGTTCTGAAATTGATGCCTAAAATGTTAAATAAACTTGCCAAATGGGCTAACTGGATCGCACATTATTATTGTACAAACATCTTCAATATATGTATATAAATATATAGAACATGAAGAACAATAATTAAAATGAATTAAATCTTTTTATTTTTTAATATATTGGAATGTGCTTCTTCTTGGAGCCTTTGACGGGTGCGAAAACCAATTAGGTGGTCAACATATTTATGCTTGGGGAGTCCCGCTTAATCTTTTTTATTTTAATTAATAAAGTTTTTTTTTAATTTTAATTAATCAATCTTTCTCAACCCTCAATTTTAATATATTAATTACTCACACTATGCTTTAGCTTTGAACCACGGAGTAACCTTACACTATATTTGCTACTTTCGAAATTTAATACGTCGCATTTTTTTTTCTGTTTTAAAAATTTATGTCCGTACACATGCAGATGAATTTATTGGCTTCCAAAAAACTAATCGGGTCTCTGTATTTAGGGAAAAGTTTAGAATTAATCCATTTAATATTAAACCTTAAATTTGATTCAGCATTGCAATTAATACTACCTCAAAATTAATTTACAAATTAATAAATTTTATAACCAATTCAGTGGTTGAAGACATTTATGTCCGATAAAGCCACTATGTTTGACAAGAATGTTGTAAATTCGAATATCCATCCCATATATTATATGAAAAAAACCTCATACTAATTTAATTAACAAAATATCAAAAATTACCAAAAATTATATTGAAGAAATGCTCAAACTCAAACATGAAAAATAATTGAGACCGTAGCCACAAAATCAAATAGTTCAAAAACATTCAAATTTAATGACAAAATACTCGAATCCAATTAATTAAAAGTATCCCACGCAATTAGAAAAATTAATAATGGTTGCAAAGTAGTCTCATTCAAATATATATAACAATATCTACAAGCAATCATAAATCTTCGAAATATAAGAGAGTACTACCTGTATGTGGGGTGGATAATATACAGATTACATTATTTAATGGTGAATATTCTATTACTTACTCTATTAGTTAAATTAAATTAAAATGTTAGTGGGTGAAATTATTACTTCGTCAAATTTTCATTGATTGAAGGTAGGAAAGTGACGTAGGTCAAGCTACTCGGATCAAATTTCCTAGATCACCTAATCAAACAAATTCGTAGCCTACCAAATTCTATTCGAGTCGGTCTGTTCGAATTGACCCAAAGAGATTCCCTCTATAAATAAGAGGAGAGACTTGAGGTGGGAGGGGCGACATTTTCACAATTCTACTATTTGCTATTCTTAACAAATAAGTATTAGAGTCTCTACTAAACTTAGCGTGTAGATCTTTTTTTTCTTTTTGTGTGGGCGTACGCGATAGTCATAGACGCTGGAGATTGAAACCAACTTCCCTGCCTCAACGAAAACAAACCGAACATATTAATTGTACGACTTGTGTATAGGATAGTTGTCAAAATTAGACTATAATCCTACTCCAAGTTCAAACTTGATACTTGAAAGAGAGAGAGAGAGAAAGGATTGAAACTTTACGTAATAAATTGTCAAATTTAGAGAGTGAGATATGATTTGCAGAGTGTGGTAATGCTGGGCTTTGAGGAGTCATAATTGCAAAGATCGAGGACGGGAGTTCCAATATTCCAAGTTGGAGAGAGAAACAAAAAAAGAAATCAGAGAGAGGGTTTGTAAGTGTAATTGGATTTTTCCCAGTTGGAGTTGAGGATTTGTCTGAGCATGAAGACACAAAGGATCACAAATTAGTAGTAAAGTAAAGTTGATTAGAATCACACTCGTGTCCTTTAATTTATATATAATATTTCAATGCTTTGGAAAAGGGTAAGTAAGACCATACTAGAAGGGGTGGCCACCAACAACAT